TAGCACGGATAGTGTCCTCTAAAGCCACCGCTTTATGCGCAGCTAATAACTGGGCCGGCTCCGCCTTCTCCAAACCCACTACCTTCTCGACGACCTCGCCACTCAAAACGGCCGCTCGAAGTTGATACTCCTCTAGCTCGGCATGCAACGAGACCACTTGGGCCTGAAGGTCGGTGCATTGGGCCTCGACCCCCCTACTCACCTCGAGCTCCTACTATTTATCCTTCAACGCTCCCTCGAGCTCGCTACATTGTCTGATTACCTTCACAATTCGTCATCCTTCTCCTTTAGCTCATTTCGGAGGGCCCGAAAGTTGCTACTGCCACTAAGTCGCCGGCAAAGCTCACGGTGTTTATCACGATATTCGCGATATTTCCTCTCCATCTTTTGCAAGATGGCCTTACGCCTCTCCTCTCGGCGGGAACTTTCAATTTCCAAGATCACGGTCTGAAAAAAAAAGCCAGAGCGGGGTAAGAACAAAGTCGACGAGTATGGAAACGGAATACCAAACTTACCGTAAGAGCAAGGCCGACTATGCTCTTCGACAAGTGGAATCCTTCAGCTTCTCGAGGGTCTTACCCTCCATATCGGAACAGAGTGGACCAAGAGAAAGGACCACATCCTCCGTGTCAACTAATAGATCCATGTCTAGAGGGATCGCAATAGTCCGCGTGATCCCCTCCAACCTCACCTCAAGTCGGGTGAGTCCTTCCCCTATCATCCTAACCTCCTCAGCATCCATATCGGAGCTCATCTCATAATCCTCTTCGGAAACACTTTTTCCCTTGGTATCAACCTGAGAGGAAAGATCCTCGGCTGGTAACGAGGTCAATGTATCACCCCCTTGTAAGGCGTTAGGGACTCACGCCGACGACCCTTCAAAACCCGTTTCGACCTCAGGGAGCAACGTACATCCCTCGGCCTCCGATGAAGGCGGAATCATGGATAGCAGCTCGGTATCAACTCCGAGATCTATGGTCGTCGTTTCTCTGATGACAAAGCCCTCCATCACCGAACTCCCCACGCGGAAACCTCCATCGCCGATACTAACAGATCGCCTCTTGCGGGAGAGCAAATTATCATCATTCAGCGACGATCTTTCCTCATCGTCCTCATCAATTAGATGACGCAGAGGGAAAGTGGAAACACCCGCCGCAGTAGTCGACGATCGAGTAGGTCTCACAGCAACAGCAGGAACAAAAATGGCCTTCCTCTTATGGAATGCCGGAGTAGGAGCTTTCTGCCTCTTCGAAGATCCTCGGCCTGAAAAAGAGATTAGAACGTCAACTCTTAGAGTCATGACGAACACGCGACCATAAGGTCAGGAGGACATATGTAAAAAGTCACTATATATGAGTACGAACGGACAAACTCACCGGTCGCTGACAGCTTGGGCCCGAACTTCTGGAAAAAGCCCATAAATCCCTACTGTGTGAGGAAAGACCTGGCTAACCTAATCGTGAATATCCGCAACCAAATGAGGGGGCTCGGTCTTGGCTGAACGAGAGAAAGACAGAACGGTTAGACTACAGCCAGAACGAGAAAAATGAGCATTTAGTAAAAATACTTACGGGCGTAATTCCACGCCTCAAGAAATCCATTTGTGTTCGCCACCATGTCCTCAGCCTTGACGTAGAAGTAGTTAAACCAGAATCGACGATTTGCTTTATCGTCCATCTTCACTACTTAGCTTTTGACTCCACGGTGACGAAGGTGCAACATCGTCCCTATGGAAACTCGACGCGAAGAGGTGCATTAGGTGGCGAAGAGTAACCCTGCGTCCAGGCAATTTCGCGCACTTCATCAGCATGAGGATTAGCTTGTAGATATAAGGAGAAAGTTGAGTCGGGAAGACGCCGTAGTAGCGACATAATTCCTCTACCAATGAGAGAATGGGAAAAGAGTAGCCCACGTAGAATGGATATGCATAGAACGCATAGTATCCAGGGCGATGAATTTGCACCACATCGCGTTCAGCCGGGACCAGATCGATATGGAATGGAATTTTGAACTTCGCCCTGTAATTAGCAAGGGCAGCCGTATCTATCTCAGACTCTACGGCCTCAGGGTCATCCTCGGGAAGCATTGAGAAGTCAGTTCTAACCTTCTCATTACGGGTAATTATTTCCACCACCGTAGGAAAGCTTTCATCTTCTGCAACAATGGCAGCCCCACCGTCATGGGGAGGCATGCGCATTGCCAAAGGAACAGGGTCAGGTACCCCCCAGAACTGGAAGACACATTAACCATTTTGGTTTATGAATAGAGGAGGTGTAAACGTAGAAGATCCAAGAGTAGCATGAGCCACCAAAATCCGTGAAGGTATGAGTATGAAGTAAGGTCAAGAAAACAGAGATTCTGATCGAGGAAAGAAGAAGAAGATATGAAAACCCGATTTTTAGAATGCAAAGAGTAAATCGAAGGATTGAGTATCCCCATTTATAAGAGTTAGGGCATCAATATCGAGGAAGCAGACTGTTGTTGCCCAGCTCAAGAATCAAAATGGCAGAGGCGCGGGAAACGATATAGGATATCGGTAAAATGCATAATAATGACGCATGATGACATGACGTCACTCTAAAATGATGTGACCCTAGGTTGTGGCTCACGAAAGGCCACGTTTCCATCCCGTCCGAAGCGCTACTACTCGACATGCTCGCATAAAACTTCTCAACCCTAACTAACAGAGTCTGCTCATCAAGGTCACTCAGGGTCGATATCAATAAGCGGAGGGACTAATTGTATAGGTCAAAATCTACCTCAGTGGGATTTAGCACGGAGCGGTATTGTGAAAAGCGATATGGTCTAGGTCGACTAGTAAATAACGGGGCTCGTAGCCGAGCAGTCAATAATGGCCGAGGTCGAGTATCAAGGGCAGTGCTAACGGTTAGTTTTTGTAATAGGATATTCAAGAGAATATTTCATTGAATATTCTTGGTGTCTGTACTTTTAGGGTTGACTAGGATATGTTCCATATAAATAAATAAAAGAGACAGGGGGAAAGGGCATGTAATATTCTCTGATAAGAACACTTTTTGAGAGGAAGACTTTATCTCTAAAAAAATACAAACACTACCTTTCTGAGAAGATTCGATTATATATTATTCCACACTTTTTCATCAGATCCGAGAATAGTTCCAATATTATAGTATTTGCCTATCCCCCATCACTGTCGGAGGGAGGAATCATCCACCCCATTCAATATTGGGTGAATCATTCTAGTTATTTATGTTAATGCCATTAATTATTATTTATTATTTGAAATTCTTCTATCATTAATGATCTAGAAATATTGAATGTACGCACCATATAATCCTTCGCCAACATTATCCGATTTTATTTGAGTTGACTAGTTATAAATCTGGGGATATTATTATTAACTAGGTTTAATCCCTTTTTATATAAAATTAATTAGTTTAATTAAAGGTCTATATTTTTTGGTCAAACACTACTATTGTGGCTTAAGTTGTTTGAATCACCTCTCCTTGTTTGAATTCTATGTTGTCCTCTAATCTTTTGAAGCCTTCTTGTTGTGATTACTGGTTTCCCCTTGCATTTCAGTTCACTATTTGGTTTGAAACCAATGTCACCCGTTACATCAGCTGATCTTATTATCATTGTTGATCCAGTGGATACTATTCTAGTACTTGGCGTGGATACTATTCTATTACTTGGTATGCCAGGCTACAGAGAAAGAATAACTAAATAAGTTTTCACAGATATACAAAACATATTGAATATCACAAAGAATAAACACTTACATTCAAAGTTTTGAAGCCATTTTCAACTTGAAACACACTCATTCCCATCTCTTGGCCTTTTAAAATATTTTATTTTTTTCCACACCCTTTCCCCTTCCTCTATTTAGTGTAGTAGTAGAGGCATTAGGTGTAGCAGATGCATTAGGTGTTGATGATGTACTAGGTGCAGAACATTCAAACCAACTGGCTAGTGAATGATGAGCAGCATATGTTGCATTAGGTGCTGATGGAGTTGCATTCCAAGATCCTCTTCTTCCCCTACCTCTGCTAACTGGAGTTGTTGCATTCCTAGATCCTCATCTTCCCCTACCTCTACTAGCTGCAACAAATGTTGTATTGTTTGATTTGCCTCTTCCCCTTCCTATACTAGCTGGTGTAATAGGTGCAGTTGATGTAGCAACAGCAACAGAAGTTACAGCAAAATCCCCAACAACAAAATTATTGTGCCGAAAATAGGGCAGCACTAGAAAATTATTTATTTACTTACAACCAAGAACACATCATTGTAAACACGCAAAATCAAAACTTTAGTATTAAAATCGTCATGCAAACCCCTCAGTTTCAAAATCAAAATCTCATAATTTTGTACAATGACAGATTTTTTACAAAACTCTAAACTACCAAAAAAATCAATTAAAGACGGTAAAGAAGTAACCTTTAGTCTTAGATTGTGACGAATAAATAGCTAATGGTTCTGTATTGACCTTGATTGCAACACCACAGTATCAAATTAAACCCTATATTGTAATGCCCTACTGAAATTGAAGACGATAAACCATAAAAATAGAGATTACATACTTCTTTGCATTATATTAGAGCCGATTTTGTAATAGAATAAAGAGAAAATTATGATTGGAGTGATTTTATGGAAGGAATCAAAGAGGGGAGATGAATTTAGTTTGGACCGTAGAAGATGGGAGAGTATGAAAGGAAAGAATGAACGGGGTCGGGTTTAATTAATGAATGAGTTTAATTTGGTTTAAAATAAAAGGGATTTGATAAAATAAAAGGGAATTGGGTGGGACCCATTAGCACGTGTATACATCGATGGTATTATAAATGGGGGTCGAATTTAATTGAGTATATAATGTTAAATAAATTTTGGTAAAAATAAGTTCGGGAGTAATAGGACCCGAAAAGAAAAGGGTATAGTTGGTAATATGGTTATGATAATTTTATGGATTATCCCAAAACATAAGAAGTTAATATAGCTGGACGATTGCTGACCGAGAGCCGCGATATCTTAAACTGCCCGATTCTTTGAAGCTAATTTGAGCTGAGCCGCCATTATCCATGCTATCTTCTTTCCACTGAACAGCCTGCGCTCTATCGCCTACTTCTCCAACTCTCTCAAAACCTTCCAAATTGCTAAATGGAAGCTTTACAATCTTCATTTCTCTGCTCAACTCCACTGAAAACCCCATCTCACAAACTCACCAAAAAACCCAAACCAAAACCCACCATATTCGTCTGCTCCGTCACACCAGACCCATGGACACTCAGCGACGGCAACAACAAAAACCTAAACAAACCAAAGCCCAAATCAAAACACGCCAAAAACCCACTTTCCGATGACAACGCTCGTCGCATTATCAAAGCTAAAGCCCAATACTTAAGCGCGTTGAGACGAAACCAAGGCTCACAAGCTATGACTCCTAAATGGATTAAGCGGACGCCTGAACAGATGGTGCAGTATTTGGAAGACGATAGAAATGGGCATTTGTACGGAAAACATGTGATTGCGGCTATTAAGAGAGTTAGAAGTCTTTCGGGCAAAGCTGAAGGGTCATATGATATGAGGGAAGTGATGAGTTCTTTTGTTACTAAGCTTACATTTAGAGAGATGTGTGTTGTGCTCAAAGAACAGAAGGGTTGGCGACAAGTTAGAGACTTTTTTGATTGGATGAAATTGCAGGTGAGTTTGTTATTGGTGCTTCAACTTTTACATTAAGTTAGGTGAACCCAGTATATCCTACTTAAAAACAGTGTTTGGGAATTGGATTGGATATCAGTGTGAAACTTTTCTTTATATCTGATGTTAGTTTTGATTTTGAGAGGCTTCTGCAGCTTTCATGTTCCTGTTCCCTTGTTTTTTGTGCTTCTTTTACAAGATTGGATTTTTTTAAATGACAAGTTAAATATTTGAGATGGATCAGTATATGCTCCCCTGGTCCTTATTATATGACAAAATTTAATTTCTAAGGTGTTAATTTGACTTCTATAACATTACTGATTGTGGAGAAACAACAACAACAAGGATGCCTCATTCTCAAACAACTTGGGGTCCGCTATATGAATCCTCACTGACCACGTTATTCCATTATTGAGACTGGAGAAAAACATTAAAGTAATGATTAGAAGTTATTTGATAGAGAAAAATGTCTCTGAAAGCTGTGGCCTGTGAGTTGTATAAAATTGGAAAGAGTTCATATAGATTTGGACGAGGGAATAGTTACTTTCACCCGTTACGGTTTATACAGAATGTATTTTCAAAGTTTCATAGAAGTATTTCAATATACCTTTTGTTAAATTGTTCTTAAAATCTATATTAACATTGGCTATGAATCTGTCACTTGGACTCTGTGAATCATTTGCAATGACAAGTTTTTCTTTCTAATACTACTTTCTTTGGAGATTCTGAAATATTAATTTGGTGTAATTTAGATTTATGCTTGGAACAGTTAAGCTACCGGCCAAGTGTCATTGTCTATACGATTGTCCTGCGTGCATATGGCCAAGTTGGGAAAATCAAGCTAGCTGAGCAGACCTTTTTGGAAATGCTTGAAGCGAGGTGTGAACCTGATGAGGTTGCTTGCGGTACCATGTTGTGTGCTTATGCTCGATGGGGACGTCACAAAGAGATGATGTCCTTCTTTTCTGCTGTTCAGCAAAGGGGAATTACACCTTCAACTGCAGTCTATAATTTCATGCTTTCATCTTTACAAAAAGGATCACTTCATGAAAATGTTATTACTATATGGAAACAGATGGCTGAAAAAGGGGTTGAGCCCAATCATTTTACTTTTACAGTTGTTATCTGCTCACTTGTCAAAGAAGGTCATGCTGAAGTAGCTTTTAAGACTTTTAATCAGATGAAGAGTTTGGGGTTCATTCCAGAGGAGGCAACTTATAGCCTTCTCATCAGTCTGGTTTCAAAGAGTGGTAATTATGATGAAGCTTTCGGGTTGTATGAAGATATGAGATCACAAGGGATAATCCCGAGTAACTTTACATGTGCTTCACTTTTGACAATGTATTACAGAAAGGAGGATTATCCCAAAGCCCTTGCTCTGTTTGAGGAGATGGAAAGGTATGGCATCAAAATAGATGAAGTCATATATGGCTTGCTTATCAGAATATATGGCAAGCTTGGTCTCTACGAAGATGCTCAAAAGACATTTGAAGAAGTTAAGAAGTTGGGTGTGATTAGTAATGAAAAGACCTATACAACAATGGCTCAAGTCCATTTAAATGCTGGAAACTTTGAGGAAGCACTGAATGTAATGGACGAAATGAAGTCAAAGAACATATTATTTTCAAAATTCTGTTATGGTATCTTGTTGAGGTGCCATATTGCAAAGGAAGACTTGGCATCTGCCGAAGCTGTGTTTCAGGCTCTCTCTAAGACGCAAGGTCCTGATTGTGGTTTTTGCAAAGACATGCTCAATTTGTACATGAGACTCGGCTTAACTGAGAAAGCAAAAGATTTTATTTTCCAGATAAGGAAAGTTCAAGTGGAATTTGATGAGGAGCTTCTCAAGTCAGTCGTGAAAGTTTATTGCGTTGAAGGAATGGTCAGAGATGCAGTGCAGTTGATAGGAGAGTTCAGTGCAAGCAAGGTATTTGAAGATTCTGTATTTACAGAGACTTTTTCTGTGGCCATTCATGGAAATGATAGATTTACCGCAGCTGAAATTGCTTCCAAGCCCTTGGACCAACCAGGTGCCGTGGCTTTTGAGCTGGCCCTTATCCTCTTTATAGCAGATGGAAATACAACGAAGGCAGAAGAAACACTATAATTGTTGCTTAAGAGTACAAATGGCCTGTCTGTTGCTTGTCAGCTTATCAGAAAATTCACCATAGAAGGTAATAAACTTGCACTTTGATTTAGTAAGTTAGAGCTAAGCAACACTGACTATTTCTGCTCTTTAATATTCTTGATATGTGTAATAATTTGGTTTAGGGCAAAACATTGAGCTTGCCTGATTTCCTGTTCCCCGTGAAGTGCGAACCTAGGATCTCATAATTTCTTTAGGCTTCATCACTCTTTGGTGATATAATATGGTTACTAAAGTGGCATGTTGGCGTTCTAGGAGCCATGCATCCAAATATTTCTTCCTGCTATAATTCATCCTTAGCAGAAACATTAAGATGCCTGATCTTTTTGGTAATTTGTGTCAATTTCTCTTGTAGGTGACATTTCAAAGGCGGAAAACCTTCATAACCTGTTAATGAACCTGGGCAGAAAACCAGAGGATGCTGCAAGTGCATCCTTGATAAATTTTTATGGGAAGCAGAAGAAATTGAAGGAAGCTCTAAATGTCTTTGAATCTGTTGCAGACTCCTCGAGGACTGGAAGTCTTCTATACAATTCCATAATTGATGCATATAATAGATGTGACAAACAAGAGGAAGCTTACATGTTTTACAAGGAAGAGATGGAGAAAGGGCATTTTTTTGGTCCAGTAGCTATTAGCATGCTAGTGAATGGTTTATGTAATTGCGGTAAGAGTATGGAATCTTTGACTTGAATGTTTTCTGCTCAATTTTATGACTTTGTGTTTACAGTGTAGGAGCTGCGTTTAAACTAACAATCATCAATTTTGGCATAATCCTAAACTGTTAAACACTCTAGTACAATCTCTTAAGGTTAGTGTGGGTAAAGGGTGGCGAGGGATCAGAATGGCTCCTTTCCTCTCCATTTCTTAAAGAGTTCTAGAAATTTTTATTATCAGGCCCTTTTCCAAAGAGCATATATGAAGTATGAACATACCTGCCCCTCATTCGCCTCAAATCTACCACTTTCATCTCCTGGTACTTCAAGCTAGTTTAACTTTGTGCCAATCAAATAACATAAACAGATACTTGGTGTTTGCATCCCACAATTTTTCCGTTGATGTCTTCACTGCCTTTTACTGGCTTTTATTATTCTTAAACTTTAAAATGTGGATGGAACACCACACTAAATTTATTTCTCTCTTTGTTTGTTGAGAACTGCAACTTTCTTCCCTGGAGTAATTTGTGTATTCAGCTTTTAGGATTAGAAGAAGTGAATGCATAAAGAGTTCCATTATCTCATAGATTTTGGGATTCGCTTTTAAAACAGCTGCTGTAGATGAATCTTGAAATTGGAAAGAACAAATAGTTATCTTATGTTCTTGTATTATCTGATTGTGTTGCTTGATGTTGTTGGAATACAATGTGCAGGGAGATATGCTGAAGCAGAGGACATTATTCACAATTCTTTGCGTGCTAATTTAGAGCTTGATACTGTGGCATATAATACATTTATCAAGGCATTGCTGGAAGCAGGTTTACTTTTACGAAGAAAACTATTGCCTAAAAGCATTTGATAGATTTTTCTTTTTCTTTTTTCATTTGGAGCATATTGAGATCTAATGTTGACCAGAAACCTGAAGACATTTTACTGGAGTGCAGGTAAATTGCGCTTTGCTACCAGAGTTTATGAGCACATGCTCTCCTCGGGTGTTGCTCCATCAATTCAAACATACAATACCATGATTAGGTTAGAGCATGACATTTTTTGAATTGAGTAGGGAAAGATACTATATTTTGCATTTCTCAAAGTGTAAGAATCTGTTATGGGTGCAGTGTATATGGACGAGGAAGAAACCTGGATAAAGCTGTGAAAGCTTTTGATATGGCTCAGAAGATGGGCATTTCTTTGGATGAAAAGGCTTATACCAACTTGATATGTTATTATGGAAAGGCTGGTAATTACCTGCTGTCTTAATTTCGCATCAGGGTTTTTAAAGAAACCCTGGGCTCTTTTAGTGAACATCATTTGAATGCAAATTCTCCTAATCTCTTATTTGTCTCACGATTTCTTGTAAACGTAGATAGTAATGAAAATTTGTCATTTTTATCTTTGTGGCTCAGTTAAGCTCCTTGGTTTTCTCTTTATCTTCTGTATGTTTTCTAATTCCCTAACAAGAAATTGCAAATGTGAATGGCAATACTTTCTATATGTATCCTTTTTTTTCTGAATTTTTTAATTTCAAGATGGTTATTTTTTGCCTCTGTTCAAACCCCTATCATAATGATTGTACTGTTTCCAATTGTTTTTGGTTGGTGAAGAGCTTTGGTTTTTTCCTGGGTGCGGGTGGAGGGGGAAACGGGTGGCTGTACTTGAATTCCCTTGACTTCTCTCACAATGCTTTTGTTGTAGCAGTTTTCTGAATTCTTATTTTTGGTTAATGCAGGGAAATATGATGAAGCATCTAATCTATTCGCCAAGATGCAAGAAGCAGGGATAAAACCTGGGCAGGTAGTACACATAATCATAGCCAGATCCAGTACACAAGTCATTTTTCTTATATTTTTGTGGCAGTAAATGTCATCTGCAGTAGGGCCACATCCTGGCTGGTGAAATATTGCCATGGGCTTTTAGTACAAACTTATATGTCTTGGTTGTCAATAATGCATTTTTAATGTTCAATGCCATATATTATATGAGAGAACACTGAGAAGTGGATTGCCCACATTAAAGTACTAAGGATTTGCAGCACATTGCAGGTGAGCTACAATATTATGATGAATATATATGCTGCTGCTGGACTTTATCGAGAAGCTGAAGTCCTCATGCATAGCATGCACACCAGTGACTGTTCACCCGACTCCTTAACCTATCTCGCACTTATTAGAGCATATACAAGGGGAGCAGAGTACTCAGAAGCTGAGCTTGCCATTGATTCTATGCAGAAAGAAGGAATTCCCCCTTCTTGTGCGCATTATAACGTGTTGCTATCAGGTTTTGCAAAGGGAGGATTAATTGGAGAAGTAGAAAGGGTCTATAAAAATGTCATGAACGCTGGACTACAACCTGACCTAGAGTCTAATCGTATTATGCTTAGAGGTTACACGGACTATGGTCACGTGGAGGAAGGCATCTCCTTCTTTGAACGAATTTCCAAGTCCGTAAAACCTGACCGGTTTATAATGAGTGCAGCTGTGCACTTGTACAGGTCAGCAGGCTTAGAAGTCAAAGCAGAAGAGGTGTTGAGGTCTATGAACAGTTTGGGGATTCCCTTCTTGGAAAATCTTGAAGTTGGATCAAGGTTGAAAGCTGCCTGATTCATCAGGATAGACTCTGGAGTTGGACCATTTAATGGATTTCTTGACGAGATGAAATCGAGGGTCTACCGGAAACAATCTCTCTACTTTCTCAAGGTAGGGGTAAGGACTGTGTACACACTACCCTCCCCAGATCACACATGTGAGATTGCACTGTGTTTGTTGTTGTTGACGAGACGAAAATGCCAAATGACAATTATATCGTATCAAGTAGGCAACTGTGTGTAGACTAGCATGAATACTGAATACAATAGTCAAAGATATACCAGGCAGGGATGGAGCTAAGCTAATATTTTGTGAAGAAGTTGGAATAACGTGCAGAGAGCATTATCTGAGTATCGTCGTGCTGATGGTCTTCTTACTGGGCGTGGTAACATCCCAAGTCGGAATATGATGAATTCTGTTAAACCAATTTTGAAGGCCTGAGAAAGTGTAAATAGCATTTGGTTTTTAAGTTTGTCTCTTTTACTGCTTATACCGTAAATGATCAAGCATTATGTACAGACACTAGATCTTGGTAATATTCTACTACTTGCATATTAATACGCACTAACAAGTATATTTTACCATAATCACACGCATTAGTTGGCTGTTATATTTTGTTGGAGGGGACAAGTCTGTTACTGGAATAGTTAGAAATTTGATCGAGTGTACTTGAATCTCATTAGACAGCAAGATATTTATGCCTCAGTACAAAGATTTTTCTTGTAATTCAATTGTACTCCCTACTTTAACCAACATAACCATATCTTTTGTTTATATGTGCTTTTCTTTGTGGGTAAATCTGTTTGTCTTTTTATCTATCTAGACGGTCAAGCTAATGCATGTCCCACTAATTGATAATCATTTCATCCAAATAGAATGAATTATTAATTATTATGTTTATTCTGTATGATGTTTTTCAAATTTCTCTACCAAAGCAATGGAATGAAGTAGAAAATAACACGAAATGATACTAGGTATTCCGAGTCATTGAATCTAATATCAAAACCCAATTCATGAATATTCCAACCATCTGGCAATTGAGAAATAGGCCTATAACCATCCGATAATTTAACTCACTTGAGAACATTTTCGTGATCAGAATGTTCCCAATTTTACAATTCAAGTATAGTGCAACATGTATCACATCAATCTCAAACTCAAATGACAGAATAAAGGGCTACTCAACAATAATTGATGTATTTGGATAGACAATTTGGTTGTCAAGAAAATATAGTTCCAACTTATTATCACGTGCTTTACTTGAATCCAGTAGCTTATTTTACATAGTTGGAGTATATGTTTTTCCTTCCCCTAAACATGTAGGAAAAATAACACTCTTACTAATTTATTGTAAATTTTTCTTGTTATTTTATCAAAATAACTTATTGTAAATTTCTCTAAATTATTGTTCAATACATTCAGACATCTCCATAACAACATCCTTGTATAACAATCATTTATTCTAAAAGCCAAGTTTTTTCACAAAATAAATTCTTATGTTATGTTATACTATATATCCTCAATAACAACAGTAAAAAAAATATCAGATTTGACTGTATTAGGTCTTTTTTCGTCCTGGCGATTTTCGCTGGAAATGAAACCATTATTGCAAGTTTCCTTTTATTTTTATTGCAAGTTAAAAGAAAAGGGGAAAAAAATGAACGAAAAAAAAGGGAGAAAAAAGAAATAGAAAAAAAAAAAGAGAGGAAGAAGCAATATATGTCATCTGGTATGATGCTTCCCGGTAGGCTAAATCTCATTTATTGAATAGCAGTGGGAATTTCAGCGTTGGGGCAAAAAAAAAATGGCGTCATTTGGAAGGAAACAAGGCGTGGCTTTGGCCAGCAATATGCTGAAAACCCTAACCGGAAGATCTTCCAATTTCCGATCCAACGCCAGAAGTTTTAGCGGTGTTGGTAGCAGTGAGGTCGTCACCTCCCACACAGACAAATGGATGCAGGTACCTAACTCGTTTTCTCCTTTCTCTTATCTTCATCTTTCTATCAGATTTCTCCATTTTTTTTTTGCTGAACGGAATTTATGATGCCGTAGCTTATGATACAGAGATTTTGAAAATGGAATTGTACCGAGTCTAAGTCTTCCTTAAAGAGGTGTCCTTTTTCCCAGTGGCATGTATCAAAATGAATTTCTGAAATTAGAGACATAAGGAGAAAAGAACTGGGAAACTTATGTAGCTCGATACCCTAGGAAGTCCAACTGCAGAAGAGTTTGACGGTTGAATTTGGAAACTGTAGTTTTTAATATGAAGGTTGAATATATACGTGAAGGTGAGAATTGATCTCTAAAGTGAGGGATTAGGATTTTTTCTAACCTTTTAGAGTGATCTTTTATCTTGTGAAAAGGAATCGAATGTTGAGTATTGGAGATTATCCTTTAAGTTTCGAATTTGCATATTACATGGAGAAATTGCAACCAAAATCATGTTGTAGAAGAGCTCAAGGTAGGGATATAGTGCTTATAGTTTCTTCTTACATAGAGCAATACTAATCTGAAAAGGAAAAAAAATCAGATTTTTTGTGCATAATTATCATCAAACTTTTGTGGGCTAGTTTCAGGTCAGGTCTTATCTCAATTAGTTGTTACAAGCAACCATGATTTGCTGTCCTCAAATGTCGGACAAGTTAGGACTAGCGTAAGATCTTGTTGTGCCAAGCCAAATCTGAGGCAAGCTTGACTTTGGCAGGTCCAGGCTTGAGTAGGCTAGCCTAAGATCTTGACGCTTGACCTTGACACAATCTAGAAACTGGGAGGCTTGGGATTGAACAGTTTGATTGAGATCAAATTAGCAATTTCCAATTTTTACAGTTTGAATGAGTATCTTTGCAACTCAAAAAGAATTTCATGTGGCTGAGTGTGAAACCTCAATTTTGTGTCGCATATCAGAGAAGGAAGCTGAAATAGCAGTCAATGTTGAAATTACAGAAAAGGAAAGATGAGATTGGAATAGGAAATAGAGTAGGATAGAGACAAAAGAAGAAAGATTGAAGACGGGAGAGTAAAGGTATGAACACAGTATTGTAGATGGCAAGAAGGGACTGAAAAGTTGTTTGTGTTTATCATATATCTGAAGGCTGATAGTAATAGGAAGATGTTTAATGGTGTTTTGATTTGGACAAATGTGTTTAAGCTACAATTATCTCGGTGAAGAATTTAAAGGGGCTCACGAGTATGGAGACAAGCTTCTGCTGTACTGAGATTAACAGAATGCTAGTCAAATTAAGCAATTCTACTTTGCTTGAGTAGCTTGTGAGCTGGCCTGGCATGCCTGCAGCCCGAGTAGTAATCAATTTTCTTAAACTCATCTGCAATCCAAAATTTTATTTCTCATTTCCAAAGGATTCTGCTTTAATTGTCTTACCACAGACTGCACCATATTGTCCTGTGACCATTTTTGTGTGATAGAAAATGCATTTTGTAGTCAATTTTTGGACATGAATTATGTAATGCAGGCATTTTTATAAGCTTGTCAGAAGTCATATAGAAAGGTCACCATTTTATAGAAATAATTTTGGTCCAATAAGCTTGATTTAAGAATATAAAAAAAGAAGCTAGTGGAACAATAAGGTTCAAGATGGTTTTAAGTTTTTTTTTTTAATAAGTAAGAGGGTTCCAAGATATGAAGCCCTTGTTTTTGTTTTTATTTCTACCAAGCCTCTTTTAATTCAAAATTTCATCAAGAATTTTCTCACTATTGATCAGTGTCAAGCCAGTGGACGAATAAGCTTGATCTGAAAAAACTAGTGGAACAATAAGGTTTCGAGATGGTTCTAAGATATGAATCCTCGTTTTTGCTGTTGTTTCTACAATGCCACTAATCCAAAATTACATCAAGAATTTTTCCTGGTAAATACTTTGTTTATTTTCCTGATTGCTGTGTGGTGCTTAAATGGTAGGATACTAGCAAAAAATCTCCCATGGAATTGATCAATGAAGTTCCGCCTATCAAGGTTGAGGGCAGGATTGCTGCCTGTGAAGGAGGTAATTTGAATACTACCACCATGTTCCCCTTTTTTTTTTTTTTAAATCGGGAAGTGCTCGTGAGTTGCTTAAGAAATACTGCTTCCATTGCAAATCAATCTGCCTGAAAGTGCTCTTTTTTATCTTCTGAAACAGACACTAATCCTGCTCTTGGACATCCAATTGAGTATATATGCCTTGATCTGGACGAGCCAGCTATATGCAAATACTGTGGCTTGCGCTTTGTTCAAGATCACCACCATTAGGGCTGCATGATGAGAATTCCTGAACTAAGAAGAGTCTTCTTCATTTGATATGTAAACAGTTGTGCTTATTTTGACCCTTTGTACTAATGATGCAGGCAAGTTTTGCTTCTCAGAATAAGGATTAGTACGTCCGTGTGATCCATTTTCTTAAAGCTGGTATACGGATGTTTTCACTAGTTCATTTCCCTCTTTTGTGCATATGCATGCTTTTGCCGATTGAAGTTTTGTTAGTTGCCAAAGGTTTATGTTAGATATAATGTTTTAGAAAGCAAAATTGGAACTCGTCCGGTGTTTGCCCCTGAGGCAAGGCACTCAAAATGTCTGGAGACATTAGGGGGAGCTTGGCCTTGTGCCTTGGGCGTTGGCTTACGCTTCAAACGTCCATCATATGCACCCAACATGACGCACAAGTGAACCCCAACATTTTTTTTGCGCACTCTGTGTGAATTGAATTGCAAACACTCAAAATTCCTTGACTAACTCTTTACTCCTCAAAAACACTTCTCATTATCACAGAAATTTGAGGATATTGTCACTCAAAAGTAGAGAGACCTAACTCATATCCGTTGACTAAGAATACAATGAGGGTGTGCTTCGATGAAGCTTTCATTTGAAAATAATAGTGTTGCATCTTTGATTTTTCTAGGTCTTCACATATAGGGGTCAAGGAAGTCGACAATGATAACTGATGTAGTATATCATTTACCAATGGCAGAANTCCCATATACATATAATATACGCACATATAACGCCATCTAGTCATGTGTCAATATACATGTATAAATACATGCAATGCACAAGAAGTAAGTCAATAAGATCTCTAAGAATGTCATAAGATCAATATACCTTCGGTTAATATCACGAAATACACTTCATCAACTTAATGTATTTTCTGAGACCCATAAAAAAATGATATAATAATAGGACACATGGGGATCAAGAACATAGGCACCCCTAGTACTTCTAATAGAGTCATTTGTGAAAGTTCCGCATTTACTCATTTCGTTTGTATCATATGGATCATGCCAAAAGTAAAGAAGGGATAGCCTTAACATACCTTTACTTCGTTGAGTCCTTAATACCTTCCAAGTAATTCTTCAAACAACTCAACTCAATCTACCATAGCATAAGGAGATTCAAAATCAGTGCTGAGTAAAGACTAAGTCCGTAACTTAAACTATTAGCTTATTTATGCAAATTTGGATAGCATCTCTCCTGTAACAATTGCCTTCTATAATACCATATACTAACAACAACAACCAGAGCAATACAACAAGAATAACATCAACAATAGGGTACAAAATATTTCATTAACAAGTCATCAACATATCACGACGAGCGGCAAGCTCGGATTGAATCCCTTTAGCTCACTTAAACCCCATTATCATACATTAGTTAACTTAACAACATGTCCAGCATGATACCGAGTAAAATCGGAGGACTTACAACCTCCTATTAATCACCTAATCCATACTTGAACAATCCAACAATAACAACAAGTACAACTTTCCATTATTATGTTGTCCTTTATCTTCTTATTCACAATACCAATAGCAATTTTGATGTGTAGACAACATATTCATGAAAACAACAGCATAAACAAGTCATTTTCAAGGTTTCCAACCATTTAAAGTTCATGGAAACAACCTTCCCAAAACAGTCCATTAAGAACAATAACATCTCAAACTATTTCAAGTCTTCTCTTGTAGTATCTTGCTCAAATAATGCAACCAGTTTACAATATTTACTCTTCAAATTCTGTTCTTGTTTTTTACTCTACTCTTAGAATGACAATATTGTTCTTTTCAAGTAACTGCAAATAATTCTATTAAAAGGTTACTCATAGTGTAAATATTTTTACATCTTCAATGCATAGAACTTAAAATCACTTAAAATTTTGACATTTCTTTTATCAAAAACATAGAGGAAAAGATAATATTTTCCTTCTTGGAATAATTTTCAGCCATTGCACTTTTATTTCCATGGGCTTACTACACAAGTGGCTAAACAAAACGTGAAAAGAACACAGAATTGACCTAGGCTATGAATAATCATACCATGAAATCTTTAACTTGTAAGCAGCAAAATTTCCCGAAATAATGGGAAAAGAATAGGTCATTCGCGGAAAATTGGTCAGTAACAAAATTCTCAGTAGGCGCCCTTGATCATTCTTTGGCAAAATTATCTCAAGGAAAAAAAATTATTCACTTGTCACCCTCAGCTGCTGCTAATTTCCTCCTCTGCTGATGTTCAGCAACTTTATAATCTACCACTTCACGAAATAAGTTAGGGTCTAATACACAGTCCTCGCTCCCATATACAGCAGCTTGAACACTAGCCATCAGTTTTGCAATCTCTCTGCCTGAAAATCCCCCCGTCCTGGCAGCTGCTTCTCTCAGAATATCATCCGTCAATCCTTTTATCTCTATTTTCTGCTGCTGCTTCTTGAATAAGCTTGAAAAGAAACCAGGTTTCCTTTCCCCAGCTTGAGCTATATATCTTTCCAGATACAGTTTGATCAGCTTGAAGCGCTCGCTTTCACCAGGCAAAGGGAATTCGATGACTTCATCAATACGGTCTGCAATAGCTGAATCAAGATCACCAGGGCGATTTGTAGCTAAGGCAAGTACTATATCTTTTGACTGATCACCGGTGCGGAAAAGGAGTGCATTGAGGGCACTCCTCTGAGCTTCACTCATATAGGTTTTGTTTCGCCTGAAATTGACATGAAAAGGCAAGCTCAGAGATCTAATGGCTGGACAATCAAATTCTACATGTCCATCACCTAAACATTGTAAAAGAGTAAATCTGACAAGCATATAAATACCTGGCTATAGCTATAATATCAAAAAAAAAAAAAAAAGAAGATGATAGAACTGATTAATCTAGGGATCAATGTGGCATCATTTAACTTGGAAGACATTTAAGGTCAGAATTTCCCTTCACCTAATCTCTCAACTTTGGCTCTGCCATCAAGTTAACAAGCAAGTCTGCCTACCTTCACCTGAATGGAATCAGTTCAATTCTATATGTTGCTTCAGGGCTTCAAGAATCATCCAATTGAATTTTCAGCAGACTATCTGTTCTATAAAGTTATTCCCCTAGACGCAATTATTTGATCTCCATTGGACTAACTTCAGCAAGTCATCTCTCAAACGAGAACAAGGTACTTGTTATGAGTTCATCATTGAGGCATGCCTAGCCATCCTGAAGGTGGTTTTTTTTCAGTGCCTTGCTACTAAAACAAATTCGACCAGTACATCTTAAAGTCAGAGAGGACCCCAGAGATCCCTGAACAAGATTATTTGAAATTACTTTGTCGAAGGAAGTACACCTCCTAGCATGGTGGCGCAAATAAATAGTACAAACCTATCAAAAACTATTAAAGATCTCGATCAATCAAATGCAGCAATGTTAGGGGAAAGTCACTTACTCGCACAAAAATGCATCTGCTTCGTCAATAAAAAGTAATAGACCCTTTCTGGATTTTTTGGACCAATCAAATAACTGATGTATTTTAGTGACAGCCTGTGATCCCAGTGGCGCAACATCACCACCCGTCATCAATGCATAGTCAAGTCCCTGACAAAGAATCAAGCATATTATTGACCACCAACAAAATTAGAACTGCCAAGTTATAGATGTTCCATAAACGGAGTCCACCAACGTCAACACTCTCTTGAAAGATTGCCCTTATAAAACTTTTTTATGAATCTTTAATATCAGAACTGTTATGCTTTGCATCAAAAAGCAATTTATTTTTTATCAGCGACTTTGTGTCAACTTATAAGATGGTATAAGTATGCCAGCTTGTGTGACACTCCCTAACCCGTATGCAATACTTTAACAAGATTGAATGAAACACATACCATATAAGTAACTATGTAAAGGTCACCAAAAATTAGCTGAGAAGAGAACAAAAGAGGGGAGAAAGATCTTACAGATCTGCGAGCAAGCTCTCTAGCAACCATTGTCTTCCCTGTTCCTGGAGGGCCATAAAAGAGCATGTTGCGAAATGGAGCTTGATGGGATTTGGTATTAGCAGTTGCATTGGCTAACTGCTGAATCCTTTTTTCAAGAGATGGATGTAGAATAACATCCCCGAACCCTTTCCCAGACTTGGTTGCAGAACCTCCATTAGCACCCTTCGAGAGAGTGCTCATGGCTCGTGGGAAGAACCCTGACCAAGGATATTTGCCCCTAGATGACTCTCTGATCAATGATGGCTGTCCCAATATTCTGTCCACATAACTCCAGACAACTCTTGCACCTTCTCTGCAATTCAGATAACAAGCTTGCATCAGCCGTATTAGCCACAGTAGTGAATACAAGTAGAAGTGCTGGCAAAATATCTTCAAGAACAACCACGGAATCCAAGAGAGACAGGGTAACCAAAACTTTAATAGTTTACCCACCACGACATTCCAAATAAACCAACTTCTTAGTATTGGCCGTTTAAATAAACAAGTGTATTATCAATAGAGGGAGCAGTCAAACAAAACGAGTAGAGCCAGTAGCTAAATATTATATGAGTTCTGCATGGCTAAAATGGTAGAAATGCTTAAAAGATCAGATATCATTAGAGTAGGATTTTCCTCGTCAGTGAATCTCCATTTCATCCCCACAAGGTGGTTTGAATAATAGTGATGCTCAAACTAGAAGAAAGGGCAAAGAAGAATTGTCCCCATAACTACAACAGGTTCACAAAGCCAGCGGAAAAAGATGATCCCACTGGGCCGTCATAAGCCACGGCTAAAATGATGGAAAAATAAAGAACTTATCAACGGAGAATTTAACACCACCATCCCCCCCCCCC